GAACAAATTAATTTTTCCAACACATCATGTCCTTCAATTCAGACGGCAATGAAAACAGCTCATCACCTCTCTCTCTCTCTCTCTCTCTCTCTCTCTACTTCTCCTTCCTCTTCCCTCTTCCCTCTTCTTTCTTCTCTTTTGTTTGTTCCTTCAACCTACAATTTTCCACCATCACCGAACTGCATTTCTGCTATTACTCTCAACCACCTGTCCCTTATTTTAAACTGCCTCCCCCTCTCTACTACTCAATTCATCCACTGACCTCCTATTTGAATTCAAATCCATGGGTTATGCCATGGATCAACCACTGGCCCCACTTGATTCAGTTGTGTATGCTTGTTCCTCTACAACACCGAAGTTTGATTTGTGCAAAGCTTAATAGAAAAGCTCTAGTCTTTACATGCATCTTGAACCAATTAAGAAGAGGTGTACCTTCACTCCTGTGTGTTGTAGTTGTAGAAACTAGAAAGAGTATATTGTTTTAAAAGTCTTTTATTTTCAAAGGGTAAAATTAGATTTTTAAAAAGGGGAGAAAAATGAGAGTATATTTAAGTCCAATTATCAACCCTCAAAGTATAATTTAAAAAACTCAAGGTTTATTTAAGTTAATTTATTAAAACAATGTTTAAGTCTTTTACCCTTTCTTTTTTGCTGCTTACATGTCTTGTGATTCAGGCCATCTTTGCGATGTGGCTTGTGGTTCAACTCATCATAGGAATATATATATATATATATATATATATATATATATATATATATATATATATCTTCATATATCTTCATCAGTCATTGTATGGCAATGGGTCCCACTTGGGACAATGTTCTCTTCGCCTTGTCATCCAATGGATGATGGACTCTTTCTAATTCCATGTTCCTACAACTAAAGAGAGGGCAGTCATATTTTTGTCTTTGGGCCTATTAGTATCAATCTTCATATTCCACTTTTTGTCAAGAAACTTCAGAAGGGAACAGAGATAGGTTAGCACCAATTAAAACGACGTACATGAATCCAAGATAAAACTAGAAAAATTCTATTATGGTTTTGCAAAATGAAACATTTCTAGAAAATGAGAGTTGTAATACAAATAAGTGACAAGGGCATTTATACAACACGRGAAAGAAAAAGAAGAAAAAGAAATTGGGGATAAAATTGGGATTTTAATAAAATATAAGATATATGTGATATCACATGCAAATGGCTTAAAACGCTTCACTTACGGAGGAAGTTGGGGCAAGAAAATGTTTAGGTTCTACCGATAATTGAATGGAATCAACTTTGAATTAACTTTGAACAATTGTTATAGGGTAGGGTTTAGTTCCAAATTTTTGGAATTGATTCACACTTAGGTCGCTTCTAGGGTCTAGGGATTTACCCTACCTGAATCGACCCGGTGAACCAATCTTGGTTGGCCTTGGTGGAAATGGCCTTGGAACCACCAAGGCTAGAACAGACCCTGGAATCGACATTCACAAGGTAGGTTCCGATTCCAAAAACCTGGAACCAACCCCTGCAAGGTAGGTTCCAAGTTCTGCCATGGAATCGAACCGAACCAACCCATGCTCACCCCTAGGAGAAACCACTCCATAAAGTATATTTTAAGTAGTGTAGTGAAATCACACGATATATTTAGGTAATTAAACCTTTATTTATTTATTTATTTCTACATGAGCATGCATGTGTTTCTATCTTGGACCTAGAACTATAAAGTGGGTTAGGCCACCCATATGTAGAGTTGTCAATTGAACTGGATTTGGTCCAACCCGATCTAGTCCAATGTAAGTCTACTTACAAATGGATTGGACCCAATCCAATCCAAATCCAATCCAATGTTAAATTGGATTGGATCCAATCCAAATCGAATGAAATATCAAAAATTATATAAAAGCACTTTTGGCATTGAAAAAGCACGTTTGTAAAAGTACTTTAGTAAAAGTATTTTCATAAAAGTGCTTTTACAAAAGCACTTTATTGAAAGTACTTCGTAAAAGTGTAAAAGCACTTCCATAGACTTATAAAAATACTTTTGTAGAAGTGTTTTTGTAAAGTACTTTCGTAAAAATGCTTTCGTAAAAGTACTTTCGTAGAAGTGTTTTTATAAGTGTTCATAAAAGTACTTTTGTAAAAGTTCTTCCGTAAAAGTTCTTTCATAAAAGTGCTTTCATAAAAGTTCTTTTATAAAAGTGTTTTCATAAAATTGCTTCCATAAAAGTGCTTTCATAAAAGTTCTTTTATAAAAGTGTTTTCATAAAATTGCTTCCATAAAAGTGCTTTCATAAAAGTGCTTTTATAAAAGTACTTCTATAAAAGTGCTTTCATAAAAGTGCTTTTATAAAAGTACTTCCGTATAAGTTTTTTTGTAAAAGTGCTTTCGTGTAAAAKTACTTTTATAAAAGTGCTTTCATTAAGTTACTTTTGTAAAAGTGCTTTTGTAAAAGGGCTTTTATAAAACTACTTCTGTAAAGTGCTTTCATAAAAGTACTTTTATGAAAATGCTTTTGTAAAAGTATTTTTATAAAAGTGCTTTCGTAAAAAATACTTTTCATAAAATTACTTTTATAAAAGTGTTTTCGTAAAAGTGCATTCGAAAGTGATTTTATGTTGGTTTCAGTTTTRATTAATTTCAATTTGGACAAGGGTTTGGGATCATGATCAGATGATTGGAAATTTGGTTTAGGTCCAATTCAAACCAATAAGAATATGGACCAATTTATTTTGGATTGGCCCAATCCAATAATTATAATGGACCGTCCAAATCTGATTTGATAAGGTTTGGATCAGATTGGATCCAAACCTAAACTGGTCGATTGACACCCTATCCACAGGCTAGTACAACCTAGTTACTGTAACAAGCAGGCTATACCAAGCTTAACCCAAACCCTTGTGCTAAGGGTGGATTTGAGCTGAGCTAAGTTGGATATTTGGCTATTCGAGCTTGGCTCACTAATAAACTATTAGGCTCGAGCTTGATTCGAGATAGAGACTTGAGCTCGAGCTTGGATCAAGCCAAAAGCTCAGAAGTTCGAGATTGGTCGCCTCTTATTGCAGGTCTCCCTTAGCTATCAAGGTCTCGAGCCAAGGTTTCCCTCAACTACCGAGGTGCCGAGCTGAGGTGACACCCCATGTACATATATACTAGACTTATTCATGAGCCGAGTAGCTCGACCCTGTCCTAAATCAAGCTTGGACAAAATTTTAAGCCTGCAGTCTCAGGCTCAGGCTCTAAAAACCATGCCCAACTATTTTTCGGGCTGGGCTTGGGCTTTCCCAAATAAGCCCGACCCGATTATATATAACAGAAATGTAATAAATATGTTAATAATACATGTATTATATAATAATAAAATTAATAGCAAAAAAGTATTATATATTAAATGTATAAAATATTATATAATATATAATATATAATTAAAATGTTATAAAATACTTATCAAAGTCGGGCTCAGGCTTGGGCCAAGGTTCAAAATATCGATACGCCCAATATGTCGGTATGGGCGTATTGGGCAAATCGATACTATTTTTTTTATTTTTTATTTTTCTGAAGCCGATTTAGGGCTCCTCTACCCCCTGAACCAGTCTGACCCCCTATACACCCACTATAGGGGCGTATCGGTGGGGTCCCAGAATGATACGTATCGGCCGATACGGGCTGATACATGTTGATGCTTTGAACCTTGGCTTGGGCTTCAAGTTTTATTCTTAGGGTCGGGCTCAGACTCAAGATCTAGGCCTAATGGTCGGTCCTAGTATTTTTTTGTTTATAAAGAAGCAATGCCCGACCCAGCTCATGAACAAGTCTAATATATACATATGTATATATGTGGGCTCACGAGCTGAGCTTTACTAGGTTCGAGGTTGACTCAACTAACTAGGCTCGAGTTCGGCTTGAAGCTTGATTTAGACTGGGCCAACCCAATCTCGAGCAACTTGTGGCCACCCCTACCCTGTGCCATGCCAGGCCAACACTTGGGTTGTGGCCCAAGCATGACACAACCTGCATGGTGGCCCAACATGGCCCAACATAGATATTATATAAATATATGTATAATATTATATTATAAATAATAAATGATATATAATATATTATAAAAAATATGATATATACAATATATTTATAAATAGATAATTATAAATATAGTATACCAATGTATATATATATAATGCATATATATTCAGATATAATATGTAGATAATATGTGATGTTCTTGATTTGGGTCGATTTTTTAATTTTTCGATTTTATATGAACACCTCTAGGCTCTTGGGATGAAATCCACTTGACAGGGTGATGTGTATAGGACTGGGCTATACCCTCGTTGTATACCCCCATGAAGCCAAAAATTAAGAAGAAGAAGAAGATTATTGGGCTCAAATTTTTCAAGTGGGCTGATCAATAACAGTTTGGATCTCTTACTTGAGAGATAGGTGGAAGGACAAGTGGAATATCGTCATATCTTTGGAGAAGGCAATAGAACTGCGGACTGAGAAGCCTATTTTGTGCACACCAATGATGTTTTTGGATCCTTCTTCCCTTGATCTTTAGGTTTTATTTGTTATCTTGATTTGTGGGGATGTGCCATAGCACTTTTTATGGAATTATAAAAAAAAAATGGTATAAAGCGGTTCAGTCAACTAACTATGTATTTGGCATAAATTTTATTTATCATATTAATGTTTGCACTTAATTTGTTATCAAAACGAAAAAAAGTGATTAATAAACATTTTTTTTAGGATTTATTGACAATTAGACGTCACTAGGAAAGCATTAAAATAAAGCTTCTCCCCATAAGTGGTTTGCACGTAAATCAAGAATAATATGAAATAATATGATGGGGCAAATGCTAATTTGGCCATTAATATGGCACCCTTTATCAAATAAACTGTAAGTCATACCAAACACCGCCTAATAGCTCAATCAATGTGAATTAGAATTACGATAATAGCCTCATTAACGACAAATTTTCTAGACAGCATGGTCTGTAGTCTTGATTCAGTCCGTTTATTAGTTTAGTTTAGATCCCTTCTGATTTCTAAACCAAAAGAACTGCTGGAGAGGGAGGAAATGGCTGCTCCGTCTTCCCCATCAGTCCCGTCCATCTCAGCTTCTGCCGACGACCCCAAGAAATATCTTCTCAAGCAGGCAAGCTTAATTCTTCAATCTAAGCTTCTTTAGGCATCTTTTCTCAATGTTCTGTTTTTCTCGATAAACACAAGCAAAGAAAAAGCGATGACAATTGGGTTTTGGATGTTTCAGATAAGAAGCCACGAGATTGCGATAGACGAGTTGAATAATCTCTCATCCTCCCGAGTAAGCCCTAACAATCCCATTTGGTTTCGGGCCATGTTTATTTTCCTGGCAATGCATCTTTATTTGTCTCATCTCTCAACGTATACTTCTTTTTTCTTTCTCTGTTTCTGTTTTGTGGGCTTGCCAGATATCAACGGAGGTGCCGTTTGGTAACGTTCTACAAGAACGTTTCTATTGCTCCTGGAAGCCAACAATATTTTGTTTTTCTGTTCCGGAAACACCAGAAATGTTCCACTGGAACGTTAACAAACGTAGCCTGAACTTCCCTGCATTGTTAGTCATGAAATTTATTAATTCCTTCTGAAAATTCTTCCAAGCATACTTACTGGGTTGGAAAACCTATCTAGTCTAAGAGCATTGTTACAGTAGAGCGAAACTATATAGAATTATCTTTTAGGAGACGCACCTATGGCCTACCTGGGTAGGGTGAAAAACTAGAGTTATAACCATGTACTCATCTTGCCTTCTTTTGCCCAAGGATCCACGTCTGTTAATGCCTTCAGAGGCTCAAAATTGTCATTTTTGAGTATTGGTGATTGCTTCAGGCTTTTATGTGATGTCTACCTGGATTATAATACGAGTATATGGCAATCCCTAATGGGTATTTTACATGGAAGTAGCATTTTTAATGTGGATACACTCTATGGCAAAGATAACTGGTAATTTACTAATAAATGGGAAATGAACGATACTATAGACATCTTCAATGGTTTAGGTTCTTTGCTGCTTTGTATTTGAAAAAGGGAAGGCAGAGTCCTTTACAGCCTCCCTGGAGAGACATTCACCCTTACATAAGTTAAAAATTAGTATTGTCAATATTCGATCAATTCAATCTCTCCCAGTGCTAAGGTTGAATAGCTACCTGTCTATGATGAGTATAAATAAAATAATATGATAAGTATGAATGGAATAATATAAATGACCCTTCAGTCTACCTGTATATGGGAATGGGACACAATTTAGAAAGGAATATAAATATAAAATTTTCTAACTAACTGCGATTCAGAAGAAAAAAATTGATTTTTTTAGAATGAGTAGATATCAGAACTGTTTTTTTTTTTTGATGAATAATAATAAGTTTATTGATTCAGAAGCAACTTTAGAGTGATTCATACATCATCCCAACGAGAGGCATGAGCTGCAGCCCCTCCTTGAGTCTTACAAGTAAACTAGGAAAGAAAAACAATAATCACAACTGAGCCCAAAATAATTCTTCCCTATTTACCCCTTGCTTAGCTAACACATCTGACAAA